GACGACCTCTTCAGAAGGTACTCCGTCGAGGAGATCCAACTTTACGCTTTTATAGTTTCATCTTTGAAAAGGCTATGACTTTCACTCTTAACGAGCTTTCAAGAAAACGAAGGTCGAAAAGTTGGAAGATCTCCACTATCGAATGTTCATTGTTCGTATTTTGAAAACCGTCTAATGGTACTTGCGCTGGGGAAATTATCGAGGAAACTTCTAGCCTTTCAAGAGCTCGATTTGTCCCGTACCATTGCAGCAAATCCCACTAAAAGCCCTACAAAATCATTTCTTTAGGCGTAGTTAACACATTGAAGCCTGCTGACCGTTGTGGGCATGTTCCACTCATGTGCATTGGCGCAGTGCGTGCGTTGTACTCGCGATGCACAAATGTGTATATGTGGGACTTTTTGTGGGTTTTCATGCGGACAACATAGTTCGACTCATTGCGAAGGGGCACGGAGCTTTCGTTTTCCTATTTGAATCTTGGGTCTTTCTTTTTCATTTTGCTTGCTATTACGTGTTTATAAGCTCATGAAGTGTATAGCTTTATTTCGTACCTACTTTGGGAGCATTTTCGATAGCATTACCATAGTTTACGCAATTTTTGACAATGAAGGTAGACGGGTGTGAAATTCCACGCAACTTCCTAATCTTTTTTTTGCTTGCAACGAAAATCACTTACTTCGCGCTGAGGGCGCTGCAAGGTAATACTAGTTCTTTAGTTTGTTTTGCCTCTGCCTTCTTCTTTTCTAACTATACTATATTTGTTGCGCGTTTACCTAACGCTAATGTTTTCCTGTCCATCAGCAATGTTTTCTATGCGGTTTTTGCACTCGCCATTATTGGCAAATGCTTCCCAAAACGCATAGGCAACACCTCTTAGAGACCATCCTGCGTGAGTTTGGCTGCTACATTGCTAGAAAAAGAAGCTAAGCAACAAATGACGCGCTTTCAAACATTTTATAAATTCGTTGAATTGAAGGTGCTCGACAGCAATTTGGACGGGTTTCACGAAGGAGCTTCCGCAGAAGTCAAATAGTATAATAAGTGCTGGAAAAAGGTTTTCAATGGGGAGGAAAATACAGATGTGCATACCCGGCGATGCACAAATATCAGATGTGGGAGTTTCGACGTGCATACCCGGCAATGCACGCGGGCTGCAATGTGTTAACACAGTGATTCAGTCAGTACCAACTGCACTGCGACGTGCAATGGCCACTATTCGGTCTCTCGTCGAAATAGCAATATTTGAAAGGTGTTGCTCACTTGATGACTTCCTGATGCACATATTTTGTTGTTGGCCGTTGCTCTATAAAATAATTCCTGCCTTTGCGTTTCAGCTTCATTTGCACCCTCGTTTGCATCGTTTATTTGCCATCGCGTACCCAGTAATGACGGCATTCCGGCCTTATGCATGGTGCCAAGATACCTGTGTTTTCATGTGTTGGGAGACCAGATTCACATCTGCTCGTCTAGGCTCAAAAAGTTCCTTTGAGTGAGATTCGTTGCAAGGGATCGTTTTAAAGCTTCAAAAAACCAGTGATACAGGGATCGTTCCTGAATATACATACTTATCAAGGTGATTCGCCAAAAGGCGAAGAAGGAGAAATTACCTATTAGACAGCAGGACCCATGCAGAACATCGATGAGGACACGTCCAAACGCATAAATTAAAAAGGAAGCATCATTCGTGGGTTCTGGTGGTTTTCATTAGGTATTCTTCATCCAAGCACCTCTGACCACCTCTACCTCAAGTCGGGCGTCTGTAAACGACGCCTTTAATGAATTAGGCCAAATCGTGACTTCCGACAGACATTTTCAGCTTCAATGTTACTTGCACTTATTGTTAACAGATCACATCTTCGCTTCATTTTCAATTGACAACTGCACAAGAATAAGTGTGACGCTATTTATTACAGAATTTCTAGTGTATCACGAGAAAGCTGCAGAGCTGCATCAGTACCGATCTTCCCACTTTCGACCCCCTCCCACCTCTTGCTGAGGCAGACATGACTCCCTCATCGAGTACTCCTCGACCGTGGCTCCCTAAGGGTGCCATTACTGTGGCCCTGCCATAGACTGAAATACGGGTCAAACTAGGCTAACGAATATCCTTGAAGCATCTCGGTGTTCTAATTAACTTGAGAGCCGAAAGCACAGGCTTGCTGCTTGCGTCTGAATATCTCCAAGACTCGGTAAGGAGATCAAGGTGGGCACCCGTGAAAGAGGAAACGTTGTCGGGCACTTACACCTCATCCTCAAAGTATTTTTGCTCGAAACAAATGTTATTGTATCAGGTTGGAAAGTTCTGAAACATTCCACAGACAAAACTTGGAATTTATTTATTTATCTTTTCTCTTTTCCAAGGCCCGCAAATACTTGACATAGACTCCGCCGAACGTTACGCAGGGCTACCGGCGCAGCACCGGTTGCACTACATTTGTAAGAAATTAGGAGAATTTTTTGTTACAATCTTTTGAAGTCGGATTTGCAGTTCTTCGTCGTCGAGCTTTCTGTTCTCCAGGTAATGAGCAAGCGAGCAGGAAAGGTGGAAGACGTGTATGGATAGGTTTGACGAATATGGCAGACGGGCAACCGCGGTCCTGCTGGCTTCAGAGTCTTGTGGCTTGAGACCGAACACCCGCGACGTTGCGCGTTGTCGTGAAACAGATTGAATTGAATCGCTATTTCGCGAATCTTTTCTACAATCGTTTTTGAGCGAACTAGCGTGGCGTAGTCTTGTTGCTCGGGCAATCCTGCAGATCAAGAGCATCAACCGACCGGGAAATACCGTCAAAATTTCAAAAATTTAACAAGCATCACCATTCCCCCCCCCATAATTTTCAAGTCGAGGCATTGTAACTCCAGTTCCCCATATCTCCAAGCCGCTGCTGCTTCGCATATGGTTGAAGCAGACAGTACTCTTGTCTTCGCCAATGGCCACATGCCACGGCCTATCGTTGCTGCTGTGCGACGAGAAGTACATGTGCAGATGTCCACCCGGTGAAATCGTGCGGTACCTATTGACCACATTTCCAAGACCTGTCAAACTCCTGAAGAGCCCAGAGGACGGGCTTCTGGAAGCACTCAAGACGCTCCGTCAGCTTGTGTGACGATTGCCTAGAATCACCTTTGATTACAGCGGTGACGAGGTCAAGATGGGCAGTAGTCGTGTGTTGCGTCAGAAAGATCAAAGTCTTCGCTGCGGAGCGTTCGAGCCAAGCTGAAACCGCCATGTGAGAGAACGTGCCCAGGCCTATCCCGGGACTGATCCTGACCACCTCTGGTGGGCAGATCTCTCTAGGCGGAGCTCTTACAGAATGAGCGCTCGGAGTGTCTGGCGGGAAAAGTTGATTTAGTGCCATGCAAACGCCATTATTGGGAAAGCTGATTTGAGCACCGTACGGCACCACCCATGGAAGATTCCAGAGCATTCGGGAGAAATCCAGGAAGAGCGCGACTGAGTGTTTCAGAAGCTTTCCTTCCAAACTAATATGTTCGAGGTTGTTCAATATACCCCTCTGTCGTGTCCTACCTTCTACGCAGGAAGAAACAGATTTAAGTTGCACCTATTAGATGGCGCACGCTATTCTTCTCCCGGGTAGGAGTTCACCCTCTTCCAATCAATCAACCTCACTCCCTGAGAGAGGGGGAGGTCGGGGCGTTGTAACGACCGTAATTAAGAGGAGGTACAGTTATGCAAGCACTAACAATGAATGAACATTTGTGTGCCACTAGAAATGAACAACGGTTGTATAGCACGGCTCTGACGAACAACGACTCTATACCAGGGGTCAGCCTGTCCCCCTCGGGGGAGGATAGCATAGAAAACTAGGAACGATTGTTCCATTCTTTGATTGAAGCAAGCATTCCAAGCTTTTTGAGGCATGCGACAGCCGGTTCACTCAAGCACTATCCAAGCTTCACATTAAGTTCAAATGAGTTATACGCGATCATGTTCATTCCTAAGATATTTGTCTCAAATTGGTCGGTTTCCAAAATCCTAGCGATGGCTTCCATTTCGGAAAATGACCGCAAACACTGTGACAGCCCCGCACCACCTCACGTTATGGCTGTTTCTTTAGCATTTGATTCTAATCCCAATCGCGACCCCCCCCCAGCTGCCCCTTCCCCAATTTTCCCAAAATTTGCGGAGAAGTATGTACGACTCAAGCCAAAATGGCAAATGCTCTGGTCTGTCCTAATTCATGCATTTTCCTAGTTTAGTCACAATTGGCAAAAAGCCGTCATGAACGATCCCCTCTCACGAACACGACTCCTTCCAATTTCACGAATACGAGCCCGATTACGCTTCTCGCAAAGAGCGTTGAATTTAAATTCCTTCCTATAAAACTCCTGAAAAGTTCTCACCACACTCCCCAAAATCGCATGTACGACCCTTCGTTCAAACTGCTTGAACGAATAGTTCTCCCTATCTCCGCTGGAGTAAATACATAGCGAATCAGCTTATGCGGTAAGAGGTATTATGAGGAACGCATTCCCAATTTTTTATCTTCCAAAAAAGCGCTGAAAAGACCCCATGCCTTTCATATGAACCACCCTGTTGCTTGATGTTATGACCAACCCAGTCAGTGAGATTGTTTCACGCCAGTATTGCAGGGTGCTAACACTAATTGTACTACATTTTTCGATATATCAGTGAGACATACAATCCTGTCGTTTAGTCACGGGAAATCTTGCCTATAAGAAACTTTTGGAGCGATTCAGTCAAGGGAATGGTAAGAGAAAGTTTCAGCGCAAGTGATTAGCTAATGGCTCTCGCAGCGATGATGAGCAATAGCCTAATGACCCTGGGCAATTTGTGGTAAAAGGTTCCTTATTGGGAAACATCTCCGTAATGCTAGCAATCTGGCTTCTTCTTGGACACTATTTTTAAAAACGTTCATGGTGGAAGTGGAGCTATTGTGAAAAGCCACAGGACCTTTCACGAGCGAGGAATAAATAATCGAATGATCGTGAATTGCAGGTATTTGGGTATCTGAGTAATGCAAGAGCGCCTTAGTTATCGCAGATGTGAGACTGATTTATGAGATCAAAAAGAAATCGCCTCAGTTGGTTCAGAGTGACTTGAGGACTCGTGCGTATGACTCACTGTTCTACCATGGGGCCACATGCTGTCTTCGCCCGACTGAGTTCTACTGCTGAATGAGCCAATGCGTTCTGGCTACCACCTTGTGACCTAACCAGATACTCATTAGCCCCTCTTTAAGTGCCTTGTAATCGAGAATGGAAGAACGCGTGATGAATTTTAGTGTGGCTCATTTACGACGAGTGCTTCACACTAAACACACCGCGTGAACCAGAAGCCCATCACAGCCATTCTCATGAACCCTTTTTCAAAAAGCACAAAGCGATCACAGCTGAATCGGTTCGCAGCGGTGTGCTGTGTCGCAGAACGAAAATTTCCGATAAAAGTTTCTTGTGGATTCCGTTCAATACGGACCAATTTCTCCTGCACGGATACACTTTAACAACCCCGGTTCTTGTGAGAAAGCACCATGAGTGTTCAATAGGATTTGTTAATTTTTAACTGTTCGTCACGTTTCTAACATATTAGAGATTCACGGCTATGATGGTGTAATTGGGAGAGCGCCATGCACACGGTAGGAAGGTCGTGTCCTTAGTTGGCCTAGCACGAGGCCATCCGTGGATTCATCTCTTTGGGCCTTCTGGGTGTTACTAAACTGTCTGAGAGTTGGCAGAAATCCTGGCTTGTACATACATCGGTTGACTTACGCCGTTCACTATATAGGCTAAACTGCATTCAAACTTCGCTACGATTCAGAATCGAAGTAGAATGTGAAGCGCATTTCATGCTGGATTGACTAACGTCAAGTTAGGGTTTTATGATTTTAAGGCAAACTCAACCAGAGAGTATTGGTTTCAAAAATGTCATGCGGTCCATGACGTGTCGCCGCGACCAAGAAGTCTTCGTATTTTTCCTCCCTTAAGCCTGTTGCCATGCTTCTATTTCGAAGCTGACCATTGACCTTCTCCCTTACCTGACTAGGCTCTTGGAAATGGAGAAACTCCTGGTTCTTTCACGCTGTCAGCGATTGGCCCAAACAGTGGTCACTTGCAAAGGCAGGAAACGAGTAGTGTTTCTGAGGAAGTGATTACTATAAAGAGGGAGCGCATCGGAGAAGTACGCTGGGTGCGGTACATGAAGCAGTAGCTTGGTTGCCACACAAGCGAGATGTGGCAGATTTACGACGAAGCTGACTGCTCAACAGTACTTGAGAAGGACTCCGCCCCAAAAGCGCTCCACTTACTAGTTTAGTAGGTGATTTGGACGAGCTGTGTTGCCAGCAGCGGCACAACTGGAGCAACTCGACTGGAGCATGGTTTGGCATGGTGCCACCAAACGCGTTGCGGTAAACTCGTTCATACGTCCGTTGTCTTTGTCGTAGCCCACCCATGAGCAAAATTCAACGGCCAATTGGCAAGGTTTCCTTATGCTTCTTTTTTGGCGTATTTTTTTGCTTTTTTTCCTCCAGTGGCGTACCATTGATCACCCTCACGTCCTCCGTTAACCTCTCTAGAAATCGGGATCGCTGCCTTTGATTGCCAAAGCTTTCCGGGACACTAATGGAGGAACTTCTTCTTCTGTACATTTTTCATAGGAAACTTCATCCATTATAACTGCTCGCTTAATGTAACTCCGTCCGAACGTGCCAGCCGCCTCTACGCTACTTTCATTAAGCATTCGGTAGGCAAATGAATACGCCATAATGAATGGCCTTCGAATCGCCCGAAGTACAAACAAGTTTTACCTCCTTCCAAACACGCTCTGCTCCGAGACCAATTTACTCGAGTACGGAAGGGCTCGTTAGCCCTGACGACTTGAATTCTCGGGGATGTCAACCTCCCCGGTGGTAACCTGACGCAAGCCTGCACCCCGACCGATTTCGCGGTCCTCACCACATAGCCAATATTCCGCTTTAATGTCACCTGCCGATGAGGAGTGCTAACGCTTACCCTATCTACAACTAACTATAACTCAAAACAATAACTGCAAGTATTTATGATGGTGCATTTCGATCAAAACCAGTTTTTTGACCTAATTTCGAGTTGTTTTCCATACCTTTGTGAAAACTTAGGCGTCTCACCGCTCCAACTCTTAGGCACAGCAGCTTTTCCATCGAGGTACGAATCCCTCTTTGTCTTTCAGTGGTGAACGAGTGTGCAGAGGCTCGCTTGAACAATTGCTCTCCGAATGCGAAGTGCATCGACAAGGCGATTGGTTACACCTGCCGCTGCGTGCCCGGATTCGCTGACACGTCTCCAGAAGGCGCTCGACGACCTGGCAGAATCTGCACTCAATGTGGGTCCCACAGCGAATTGGAGTTGATTTTCATTGAGCTTCTGCTTTCAGTGGTGAACGAATGTGCGACGAAGCAGCACGACTGCGACAAGAACGCGATCTGCCGCGATGAGCCGATCGGCTATCGCTGCCACTGTCCATTCGGATTTGCCGACGCCTCCAAGGATCCCTCGAAACCTGGTCGTCTATGCGTTCAACGTAGGTTGTTGGTTTAGTCAAGTTAACTCCCCAATCGCGTAACCATCAGTGCGAATATCAGTCGATGATGGGAATGTGTGTCAGTGATGGGAAAGGGTTGGACAAGTGTCCGTCCGTATCAAGACAGCAAGGTTACGCCATTAAATTCTTTGAAAACACCCGTCAAAGGGACAGCCTTGCCGAGACGAGGAAACTCATTCGATCGGTGGCTCGTTTGGCTTTGAGTTGATGTCCACAAATCTCTAACTAAAGTCACCCCATCGATCAGTCGCCGAATCGCTTCGGATCTTTATGCGCATACAGTTCGATTCACCACAAAACCATCTAATTTGTTTTTTTAATGGCGGAAAAGACAGCCACGACATTCAAAGGACATGAGAAGATCTGACAAAAACATTTCTGGGAATGCTCAACTGGGAATGTGAACGGGAGAGCGGTACTCAAAACGATTTTGAGAGCAAATTCGGGTACTATCGCAATATACGGGGCATCCTCTAGGACTAAGCTTAAAAGGGGCAGGAACTCCAAGGAAAATAAAATGGCCCACGCATCGTGAATCTCTCCTCCCCACCTGAGGCTTAATCCCATTCTCAATGAAAAGGACATGTTTCACGCACGATGCCACCGTATCTTGCGATAGCGCCCATATTCGAATTTGGAATTCACTGTGGTAAGTGAACAAACCGGCCGGCTTCAGAAAGCCTCCCATCAGGGCGCTCTCGCAACGAAATGGTTGGATAGAAAAGTTTTCATGAAAACAAAGTGGAAGGTAAAATGAAAGGTGCAATGAAGGTAAAAGGAGAAGAGACAATGACGTCAATTTGCCTTCGGGTTCTATTGTATCGAGTCAAGATGTGTTGTTAAGATCTGCGATTGTATTATTTTATTAGGCGGAAATGTGTAGTGTGACAAGTGGCGCGCTTACCACGCGAGCGGTCCGGGATCAAATCCTGGGTCGTGAGTCGCCCGGGCCAACCAAGCCTTCCATCCCTCCGGGGTCGGTTAATTGGTACCAGACTTGTCTGGGAGGATAAAAAACACTGACTTGTACATCGGCTGGCCCCCGCAAGTCATTATAGGCCACATCGCATTCAAACGCCACTACGAATGTACAAATGGAAGTAGAATGCGTGCCGCATCCCAAAAAGGGATTGATCAACGGCAAATGCTTTATCCTTTATTTTTGTAATGTATGCTATACGAAGTTATTACGATGGAATCTTCATTACGGCCTGACGTTTCGACACCTTCGTCTTCTTCAGAGGCCTGGAGATAGTTTGAAGCTTTTGATTCGTTAGCTAATCGACTTATCGCTTATCGATTCTACTCGATATCGTTTATCGAGTAGCTAAACGATCAAAAGCTTTCGCTAATCTCCGCCTCTGAAAGAAGCGAGCGTAGAAACGTCAGGCAATCAATAAAGATCCATCTCAAACCTCGATTCGGCATACACTACAAGAGAGAGCGAGGCACTGAACATTGGCGAGGTTCAAGAAATGACAAATGAAACTGCTTCAATCTTTTATTTTATGACATTGGATGATAGGAGATTTCGTTGATGCGTATTGCTTTCGAAGTGCTGCTTGACAATCCACGCATGCTCTGCTCAAAACAGCACTCCTTTTTAAGATCGTTAAAAGCCATCACAAAGTGACACGGGCTAGGAATCATCGCCAATATGATTACAGGCATGGGTTTCGTCGAATAGCGTGTGACTTGTTCAAAATAACAGGAAAAGCGAAGAAAGCTTAGTGGGGAGAAAAAGCAATAGAAACATAGGAAAACATCAAAATCCTCATTGCAAGTCTGCCGTGTACATGTATTGATAGCGCTGCCGAGAGAGGAATGCTCGAAATAAGTCGTACGTGAAGAGGCACAAACACATATGGCATGCCTGCGCTGGTATGATGGCTAGCGCAGGCAGCACACAAGCAGCTTGAACATCCTCACACCTTTTAGCCGCGAGAGTGTCGCGCCTCTCGGCTTGGAGACCTCACTCTTTCTCATTTGCGGAAACTACCTCCTGGTCGCATTAGGCCCCGATCCGTGGCTTCAAAAGTAGCTTATTTGGTAGCTTGCAGAATAAAGACGAATATTTTTTCTCACCCCAACCCCTGTTCAATAAATCTTCTTCTCATTAACATAATTCACGTACACCCTGGCTATTGGAAACAATGTTTATGAATCATTTTAATATGGGCCCCGTGTTCTCTTATAGAGGGTAAAAACCGAAGACATTCCACCACTGAAGCAACCCTCTGAAGCGCACCGCAAAGGGCGCTCATCGCCGCTTAATCTTCAGCAACAAAAAGTTGTTCGCGATTGAAAGCTTGCTTATCCGCCAAAATAATCTCATCAGGGCTACAAGCCACTTACGAAGCCAGCACAATTGGAAGAACACTCAAGCCGAAAGGCACATCCACAATGGCGTCTGCCTTTGTGACAGATGACCGGAAATACCCCGCTATTCGCCGGCTCTGAGATCAAAATCAGTCAGCAGAACTAGCTGGACTTCCTGAAAAAATCATGAAGCCCTAGTTCGATTGCCAATGAGGGAGCAAAGTAGGCGTTCAATTGCTTTTACGCTACATAGGCCAGAAGCAAAGCAAGTGTGAAATGGCAAACACCTTCCAAAGGTGATGACGTGAACATCTTGAAATCGCAGTTCCATTTGAGAATAGCCAGCTTCCCGAATCCTCAACTGCCAGTAAGAGGAAAACTGGAGAGAAAATCCTGTGCAGGGCCTCACAAAACTGTTCATTCTTTGGAGGTACCTCTGATGAGGGCTTGGACGAAATTGACAACGATTAACTGCAAAGCGATGCATATCTTATCCCATATCTCATCCCGTTAAACTTAAGAGGCACCATACTTGTCTGAGAGCCCTGGCTACGCTTTCGACACCCACTCCTATATGCAGTGGAATTTGTGCACTTGTGCTTCCATTCTGGAATATGCTATGCAGTTTGAATGCATGGCGTATTCCAGAATGAAAGCCAGTAATGGCAAGCATCATTTTTGACCTCGACTCCCCAAGGGGATAAAATTGGGTCCTTCCCAGAACTCAGAGTAATACCAGAACACCTATAGAGGTGAGCATTGTAATGAGAATGACACACTGTTCCATTTATTTTGTCAAAGTAAGAGTAAGAGGTAGGCAAGGATAAGGAGTTAAGTCCGCCTTAGCATATGACCTTCTTCAGGAATGACAGGAGTCCTTTGAGGTTCAAAAACCGTTCAAAAGTTATTAAGATTCTTTTGTCCAGGGAGGCGTTTCACTGCCTTAAGCACTTCATTGTTAGAACCGGCTTTCTTTCACTTACCATTAGCTCAAAGTATCATTCGAGTTCAATCCAATTAGTAAATGATCAAACCGATCGCATTTCCGGGTCAGTAGACCCCCTCCTGGCTTACGATCCTTCGATGGCCGCATTGGCCTTATCTCCGCACGATCTTCACTCAGTCCAAAAATGGGCATCGTCAGACCTGGGTGTGCACCCACGTAGCATTTTAGTAGCGATTAATCCTTTTATTGGATTTTTGAAGGCTGATAAGGTTTTTGTGACGAATGGAGAAATTGCACACATCACAGTAACCTACTTCTGTTTATCTTCGAGTTCTAAACATTGACACGCGGTAACATACTCGACCCAGTTAGGAAACTGATGACCGAAATCGCGATTTGAAAACCTCATGTGATGCTACCAATCTGTTCAATCGGAGTTATGGAAAAAGAGAAGAGTAATTGTGAAGTACTTTTAGTGAGCATCGAATGTGAGGGCTGTAAGTCGCCGACCTCTCACTGCGTTCCCACAGCTGGAGGAAGTGTGGTCTGCGCCTGTTTGCCCGGTTACGAGGACCTGGACCCGATCAATCCGGGTCAAAACTGCTCGAAGCTCACACGTACGTCTCATTTTTCATGAAACTTTCTCCAAGAGGTTGTGTCACTGTTGAGCTGTTAGCGCGGTTGCGGTAAGATCGACCGACGACGGGGGTGCGCGGGAACATCCCGCTTCGGGGTCCGCCCCCGTTCATTCCACTCGTCCACGCGAGTTCAGCTGCTGAATCTCGCGTATGATCCGCCTCTACATTGGGGCCTTGGCCCTGGGGACGGTCTTTTCCCTAGGTGAGTAAACTATGACTATATTCAGATCCGTTGACGCCATCTTGTCATGCTTGCCAACGCGGTAGGTGCTTAATATTGAGCCTAGCCTCCTTGGTTATTGCCAGCCATTTTGGTTCAGCTTAGCTTATAGCCTTCTGTTTTTGAATAGTTTTTATTCCACTTTGACAAAGCTTCAGTCAGAACGACAAGCGGCGATGACCGAGCTTGAGAACTAGTTCAATTATCGTAACGAGGGTGATAATGGCTTCGTTGAACAACGGGCTAACAAGCAATGGAGGACAGTTCGTAGCGTAGTGACTCGGCTAATTGTGAGCAAAATCTGTCGGAAGGCCTCCGCGACCTTCGTGAGGCTTCGCCGACCCCAAATGAGGACGAATTGAGCCGCATGAGTGCATGTTTTTCTTGCGCATGCGCACTGCTTGTAAATATTTTAATTGCTGAGGGACAACTTTAGCCGGACTAGCCCTAACCCTACCATTTCAGGATCAAACCCCTGTCAAGACTACTCACTTCACGATTGCGATTCGGTAGCTGAATGCTATTCAGAACAACCAGGTTACTTCCAATGTCGTTGTCCAAAAGGGTTTATTGATGTTTCCCCGGACAAACGAACTCCTGGACGGAAATGCGTCAGAGGTATCTCATCTATTTCACAACACATATTTTTTCTTTTTATTTATTATTTCAATTTGGTAATGGTCCCAGTTTTTCTTGCCTGCAAGCTCCCACCGTTTTTCACTCGTTTTTCGCCTCGCCGAGGGTCTATCGCTCGTTTCCATGGACGAGACCTCTTTTTGTTCGGGATCGTTGACCTTGGATTGGCCAATCGAAGGCGAATACCTCATGATTTACATATTCTCTGTTTATTCCTTTTTCTTTTTCATTCCTTCTTTCATTTCCTTCAATCTTATCTCGAAGTTTCTCCTGTTTTCTCCAACGTGATGGAATCTACCCTTTCAACGATTGATATCCCCCCAAATCGTCAGCGCCACTTTCAGGTCAAGGCAGTTTTTCCCACAGCGCCCTATCGTGTTTAGAAAAGGAAACCGACCACTGAAATCCTTGAAAAAGTCCTTTAGAGATTGACCATGAAATGATGAATAGACTCATCTTCAGGTAATCCCCGAGACCCACCCCTCCTGGGTATCCTCAAAATGCTTTGGGTATCCATGAAGCGTCGATAGGGTCTTTTCTTGGATTACTTCGAAGACGGCTCGATCAAGAACATTGAGAGAATTTATCCGCTCGCTTTCGCTTTTCCCTTCTTTCCAATAAGGGGAGGCTCTGAAAATCTCGCTGAGCTGATGGAGATCCCAGTCGGGTGGCTTTTTTCGGTAGCTTCCACTTTTCTCCGAAAACAACCTCGGATTCAGATCGATTTCGGAGAATGGTATCGTGAAATGTCACATTATTCGTCGTGGTCGTCTCGCCCACGAACCGGTCATTTGATTTCCCCTTTGGTGGTGAAGGCCCCGCCAAGACAGGGCCAAACGTGGTCCAGTAAGATGTTTGGGAGCAGCCAGGCATGCCCTGAAATCCTCTTTGGTCCGACATTTTGTCCTTCAGATGATTCACTCAGCTAGAAGTTAGTTCGGTGGCGCTGAAAGGTTTCGAACGCCTAATAGGCTATTCATGTGCACAAACCAAACCCACGAGGGTCCGGCAGGGATGTTCCCGGTTGAGTTTGAGTGCGACCTCAGCCAATTGCGTTTCACCTTGAAACTCGCATTGAGTAAATAGTATTGCGGTCGCTTGATTGGATTCGTTTCGTTCGCGCGCTGATTCGCCGAGTGGAATTCATGATCACCTCGGTGGGGTTCGTGGATGGAAGGCAGCCGACCGTCAAAGACAATCGTCTACTCGGTCGAGACGCGATAATTGCGATTTTACATATGATTGCGACAGCCAGACGACCTTAATTGATATGTTGAACGTTCAAATGAAGGGTATGATCAAAGAATTGAACTGTTTCAGTTGTGGACGAGTGTTCGCTGGGTACCCACACCTGTGACCCGAATGCTGACTGTGTCGACACACCCGAGGGCTACACATGTCGATGCAAGACCGGATGGAAGGATTCCAGTCGGGACCCGCTCAGAAGTCCAGGCCGAGTCTGTAGGAAAGGTATGTTTACTTGTTTCCCAAAAAATATCCATTTACTTCATTTGCTCATGTGTTTCCTTCCCATCCTTCATCAAGACACCTTTCTCTATCTGGGAGCAGTGGCCTTTCGGACGATCCTCATAGGGCTCGGACATTAATGGCATAATGCTGGATCCGGCTTTCGTTAGCTGTTTTCGTGAGAAGGGAAATGGTGCATGAGATGATGCTCGGCTCGTCGTCGAAATCCCCCCGTCGTCGCGTGCCTCCTCGTCCGTAGAGGTAGCATCTTGGACCGGTTTCTCTCACCCCTTCCCGTGCTTGGTGAATTACTTTTCTCAATGTTTTTACCCCGGTCCATGTCACTCACCAACATCCACCCAACCTGTTGTGCGACGGAAGGAAGAGAGCTGTATAGTTAGAAACCATCAAATCGCCATTACCCGTGAGAGCTAGTGACAGGACACAACCGAGTAAAGAAACGCGTTGTATTCGCCTGTGTGACCTCCTGCCAGCTTGAAATATCAGCGGACATGCTTAGTTGCAAGTTGGTTGTCCGAATGGGGGGACTGTTTTCGAATTCATTCCTTGCTTTCAGAACGAGACGGACTGTACGCCTTTTCAAGGGCGAGGCTAAGAAGGCATGCTTCCCGTCTCTTATCTGGACGGGATGAAGTGATCAGCGAAGGCGCAAAGGTCTACCACTCGGGCGAGGACGTCACCACAACGGTTGATTGAATGAATTTGTATCTTAGTAGAAGATAGTGTATTGTGCTGTCCCGGAGCCTCATCAGGACCTAAATTTGTTTAAAACAGAGAAGCTCCAAAAGTTTTATTCCAAAAGAATTCCAAAAGTTCACAAAAGTCCAAATACTCCAAAAAACAAGCCAAAAAATTTTGAAAAGAATTCCTTTGGAAACTTCCGCGATATCGTAATAACTTCGTACGCCCTCGCGGCTCAGTAAGGGTAGTCTCCTTGCTGGGAATGTGCAATAAATGCCGATAAAAGGATAAAAAGGATAAAGCATTTGCCGTTGATCAATCCCTTTTTGGGATGCGGCACGCATTCTACTTCCATTTGTACATTCGTAGTGGCGTTTGAATGCGATGTGGCCTATACAATGACTTGCGGGGGCCAGCCGATGTACAAGTCAGTGTTTTTATCCTCCCAGACAAGTCTGGTACCAATTAACCGACCCCGGAGGGATGGAAGGCTTGGTTGGGCCCGGGCGACTCACGACCCAGGATTTGATCCCGGACCGCTCGCGTGGTGAGCGTGCCACTTGCCACTACACCACTTCCGCCCGAAGAAGAAGGTGTTATACACCGAAATATCGCGGAAGTTTCCAAAGGAATTCTTTTAAATTTTTTGGCTTGTTTTTTGAGCATTTGGACTTTTGTGAACTTTTGGAATTCTTTTGGAATAAAACTTTTGGAGCTTCCTCTGCGTTAAACAAATTTAGGTCCTGGTGAGGCTCCGAGGCAGCACAATGCTAAGGTTTATGGCTGCATGGCGCAA